GATATAATTTCTCTTCAACTATGTACCCCCAAAGTTGTTGGTGTATAATTCAAATTATACGTAGTATATAATCTACATCTAAAATAAATTAAATAAATTACATTACTGATTATTCAGTGTTTATCATAAAATATATTTTTTTTAAATTTCACGTACCCTCTAAATGTCTTCGCGTACCCCAGGTTGAACACCACTGGCATAGATAACCTGCTTGTTTTCAATATTCCCACCGTACATTACGGGAACCAGGATCTTTCTATTTGTCTTTTAAAATAACAGGATCACGCACATTGCTTCTAATGACACACAAGAAGAAATCTTTTTGACATGTCCACTTTTGATATAAAATGTGGTAATCACCGCAGAGGAATGAAGCCTCAGATCGCATTAACAGGCAATTAAGGACAATTATTGCGATAGGTCTAGAGGCACGTACGGAACTTCAAATGAATTCCGGTGGAGTACGACGGTTTGCTTTTTGCCTCTAAGTCATCCTCAGCTGCCGTGGTATTTCTTATTCCACATACTTCCCCCTCCTGCCTGCCCCGGACACATTGAACCCTGCTGTCAATTTCCCTTTGCTTACAGAAATCAGCTCAGCTCAGCTCAAACCACCGAGCAATTTACCCGAATCCGTCCCGTTCGAGTCTCGCATGTGACACACGGCCACACTGTCCTGTCTTCCAGTTTCAAACTTTATAGCCCTGAAGATAGAGGCAGTATGTCGCTGCGAAACGTTGGTATCTACCTACACGGCGTTATACCCCTCAAGACCAACATCATGGCCGTGAGAACCTCAAATCTCAAACGACTATACTAATAAATTTTTACGTGGGTTTACTTGGTGTCTCCGTTGGAATGTTAGATCAGCGTTACCAACCCCCATTAACAAAACACTTTTCTGCCTCGTTCTGGGCTACATAAGTTCTGTTTTCGGAACAAGATTCAAGAAAGGGTAACTAATCTCAGAAGCATCCTTTGAACACACTACGGTTCAAAGCAAAACTTGCTTAAAGAAATTATTGTTAAAGCAGGTGGTACATATACTTACCACTGGGATGTTACAGGGTTAAGCCGAACAGCTGACTGATCCTGATAAATGCAACAAGAATAATAAAAAATCTACCGACTCCTGCACTGATTGAGTTTTGGATTAAAACAAAACTTACATCACAAATCGAAGAAGGTTGTGGGTTTGATACTCGGCATGTGAAGTAAATTGTCTCCGAAACAGATTAATGTGCGCTATCTGTTCATTTGACTTCATGTACATTCTGCAGACTACGCGGGTTTTAATATCTGGGGTGTTCTGAGAAACTTTAGATGGATTGACTAAGCTGCTTTGTTCGTTTACACGAATGCCCGCGATCATCAGAAACTTATTTTCTGATATAATCCATATTTCTTCCCACACAATTTTAAGTTGACAGTGATTATTAAAAAACATCAGAAGTAAAATATAATAATTTACAAGTACGAATTTTGTAATTAATTGTAATCTCGTGATAAGTGTCACAATCAGAAGCCGAGTTTATTAGCATTCGTGTTCATGTCTGTAGACGAAACAGTCCCATCTTATTATCTTGCATGTTTGATACTGAAACAGATTTCTTGGAAGACTTCAATAGAATTGTACAATATGTTATGTCATTTAGAAATCAGAACTTTGCAGCGTAAGCTTGCACGAAATGATTCTGCAAGTAAGTAGGGCAAACCAAAATGGAATATCTTCATCGCATTTCCCTTTAAAACACAGTGGTAAATATATATACCGTATACTTTAACAATTTTCCCCACATTTTTATGGATTTCGTGTGATTCTTGGAATAAACAGCGATTATTTCCTTAATCACCGTTAACCAACTTATCTTCGTAATGGTGAAGAGTTGTGTTTTCTTTGCGGTACGGACTGGATATTTAAATGTTATTTAGACAAACAAAAGCTCGTGTAAGTATCTTAAGATTTCAGTCCGTACCGCAAAGAAGACACTATTCTTCACCATTACTAAATTAATTGTTAACGCTGCTTAAGGAAATAATCGCTGTTTACACTGACAATCATTATTTTATTTAGTGTTCTGTCTGACGACAGGTCCATATGAACAGGATCCTTCCATCCTTTTCTCGGACTGGGACCTGTTCATATACGTTCTTGGCAGATGATCCAGAAGTGGTTTGCCATTGCCTTCTTCTGTGTGTGAATGGAGTAATTGTTGGGATGCCACGGAGGAAAACTCCGTGTTGCCTAGACCACGGCCTTGCCCAACACATGACAATCATACGAAAAACAAAATATAAAATGCAGCGTTACTGATTATTAAAGCAGGTGGTACGTATAGTTACCACTGTATCTTAAAGAATTAATTGTCTGCGAACAAATTGACTTTCTGATTGTGCATTCCGTTCCGTAACACTTAACTAAAAACATAATGAAACACTATATTGAACAAAGTACATATTGAGAAACTGCTGGTCGCTCAGCTAACCAGAAAATTACTCGCCTTACACGTCTTCACTAGAGCCTACTAAAAGTTGCCATACCGAGCCAGATTAATCCAGTCCATCCCATCTATTCGTGGTCTTCCGAGCAGTCTCTTTCCTTCAGGCTTTCCAGTCAAAATGTTGTAGGCCCTCATGCATGCCACATGCCCTGCCAATCTCGTCCTCTTTGGTGCAGGGTTTTAAATTAGAATTCCAGTATAATATTTGGCTGGAAGGCGATTTCCTGGACTAGTTTGGAACCTGAGACCTTCCAAATAAAGAATAGGTAGTTGTAATCTCAGTAGGATGGGGGTTTCGCGGGAGGAGTTACACTGAACATGGCGGAAATGCGTAATTACTGTAGGTCACTTCGTATCGTTACGATGGTCAGAACAAGAATTTCTGGAGCGAAGTGGAAATGACCCTGGGACAGAATGCGATAGTCGGACATGTAGCACGCATTGGAGAGACGAGAAATGCGGACAACATAAGCAGGAAAGTTTGACGGGAGATCTAAGGATAATTGGGAGGATAATATTAAAACGTAACGGGTACATTAAATAGCTATTGTCTGAGGGTGTGGTGGATTGGATTCATGTGGATCTCGGGTGAAATTAGTGGCTGGCTGAGAGGAACGAGCAGCAGTTGTAGTGGATTGAACCGGCTCACAACCGTCAGAAGTTCGGAAGCTGTTACGTGCCGAGGAGCGCATGTCAGCCTCGCCTCGTCACGCGGCCTGTGAATGAAGTCGCATTGTGCTAGGTCGTGGAAGTCGCCACTCTTCATTGAATCGCGCGTTCAGTCCGGATGAATCACCTGTCACCTGGTGCGCACTCTATTGATCGCCATGAACGTGGAATGCGGGTACGCACGTACTGGCATCTCTCCTTCGCACACCTCGCAACGAACCGCGATATTTCAGTCGGCTACGCGCGGGGGGATGACCGGTCTTCGGATCCTGACAGAGGCAGGAATCATCTTCGTCACTGCCTCGAACCCCGCTCGTGGAGCCACATATCCCCCACGACAGTCGATCCTTGAAAAAATTCGACCTCTCGCATTTCGGGAAACGCACATATCAAGAGCGTATCAGAATTGGGTACTACGGAGAATATTCGGACCCAAGAGAGAACGTAACTGGGGAAAATTACATGACTAGGAACTTCAAAAATTTCTACAATTTACCAAGTATTATTAAGATAATAACATGAAGAGGTGGGCAGCTCATGGTAGCGCGAATAGTGGAAATGAATGAGAACAAATTTTGGTTTCGGGTAGACGAAGGCAGAGTAAGGTTAAAATGGAGCATGTAGATTGGATTACTCTGGCCCTCGTAGCTGAATGGTCCGCTGAGTGAACTACAGTACTGGTCCTACATGTTTCATAAGAGGTGAGGGATTTTCTTAACCAACTGAGCTACTGTCAGTTTCTCAACAGGGTCCATACTCCGTAGAGTTATTTATTTACGTTTAAATTGGAATAAATTGATGTGGGCAACTTCTCCGACACTTATGGCATGCAGGTTAGCCTATACCTGAAGGCGTTTCACTCCTGTCTTTCGAACTCAGGCTGCACAGCCAACACGCGCTCCTCTCTGCCCAGAAATGGTTCAGGCGAGAAAAGTTGTGTTTATTCAGACACGTCATTTCATGAAGCAGATCTGTTTACTTTAACGAAAGCAGCCAGGAGTCTCAAAGCCTGGCAAAATCACTAATCAGCGTGTCTCACCCGAAGCGGAAATCGGTACATTACTTCTCGTACACTGATGTTTCTTGCAAATATTTCAGTTTTGATTGGTTTATAAGTTATTAAACGATTATGAATGTATCAAAACAGGGTCCATTGGGGGGGAGTCCTTTCCTTTCAATAAAGAGCGGGAAACTTAACGAGGACTATAGCCAATAGTACAGACCTCTTTTGCCTTTAAGCAAGTACAATAGAATACAGTCGCAGCCACGGTGGTCTAGCGGTTAGAACGCTGGCCTTGTAATCCTGGGGTCGAAGGATCCTGTTCATATGGACCTGTCGTCAGACAGAACACTGAATAAAAAATAAATAGAATACAGTAACCCGGGAACATTACATTATGTCCCGTCTGAATTTCAAGGTGGCAAATGGTGAGAACTCTCGGCCGTCACTTCAAGGCGCGGTGGCTTCAGGATGTGACATGTTTGTTTGCTATGCAAGTAACGTCACGATACTTAAGAAGTTGTGTTGAGGGGGGGAGGGGGAGGATTCATGCCGAACTGTACGGCGGAAGAAAAAGGTCCAGCGAAATCCTACATTCTGTGCTAGCTGCAGAGTGTCCGGGTAAATAATACGTTGTGGTCATCTTCACCCACAGAAACTCGAAGCAGACAGGTTCTTATCCAGGTGAGATTACCGGGAACAGTTTTTCCTGGGTTAAACCGGCCGAATCGTGAAGCTGACAAAGTTAAGATTGCATAGAAATATGATTGTTTACCACAAGGAACTTGATCTCTTAGTGACGAACGCGTTTTGATTCTGTCCTGTTGCAGGATTCCACGAGGCTCTCTTTGTGTGCGCGTGTTTACTGACTTTGATCCGTGTTCCGTCGGCCATGTCTGCACCGACGTCTCGCCATGGCAGTCTGGACCAGGAGCGCATGAATTCGCACCCGAAATGGATCAACCCCTGCGGACTCGGGGCCAGCGACGATTTCGACAGTGAGCTGGACAGCGTTCCGCGCCTCAGCGACAATGAACTGCTGTCCTCCATCATCGTGGCTGCCAAAGGTGCGCTGATGCACGCCGAGCGCTTCAAGGAGAACTACGTAAGTACACTGAGCGATTCCAGCTTCCTGTTGCTCGGTTTAATTCTCACACATCTAAATTAAATTTAAGAATTCGGTCCGTACCGCGAAGAAAACACTTCACTTCACCGTTACATAGATCAACTGGTTAACGCTGTTTAAGGAAATAATCGCTTGCTAGTTTTAGGTTTACATAATTTTGAAACAAATTAAAAATACGGACAGAAGGACAACGCGTTCTATTTAATGAACTACTCGCATTGGCCGGAACGTAAGAAACTTTCCTGCGAAAAAAAAAAGTAGCAACGTTAAGAATCTTGAATATAATGACTTTACTGCATCATTCATTGTATTAAAACGGAATTAATTGATGTTAAATTATGGTGTCCGCCGGTGACACGATTTTTATACCAGTTTTGTCGACAATCTCTCACGTTCAGCTCGAAAAAAAGGAAACTGGTCCTTCGGAACCCTAAACTTTCGCAATCGCCCGAGGCGCGACATTCCTGTGGCCCGCTGCATCGTATGCCGTCAGTTTTCAATTCTATTTCCATTTGGGCTCGAACCAAGGCCAAGACGTGACGAGCTAAAAACAAAAGACAGTGAGAGGGATTTCCCCACTAGCATGTCGTCCACGAGACGAGTGGCAGAGAAACGGAAGAACAAAGGAGCATGAAGCTATCAAGTTCCTTCCTGCGACCATCGTATTACGACAGTAACGACAGTCACCCAGTCCGGGGCTTGTCAGAAGTTTAAATTAGCGACACGGCTTGATATGACGACAACTTACAGTGGTTACTCAACCCAAGTATAACGTAGGCATTAGGTAAACAATTCTCTCGATACTCGCCGTAAATCTTATTCCTACCCGAACGTCGCAGTTTATACTTCTGTGGCTCACCTGCAGGGTAGAACAGTAGGTTGACTCCTTCCCAACCCTTGTAGTTGAAACAGGTTCGACAAATACAGAATGTCCCACGTAACTCGAAACCCGCCCGTGGGACGGCTATGTTCTGCGCTGTCGCGGCGGGTTCCACGTTAAATTGGACACTTTATACGAGGCGCGTCCCAAAAGTAAGTTTCCCTGGGGCCGTTTACAGAAACAAAACA